TTCTATGTATCTATCAATGCTTTTCCCTAGCAATAGATTTTCCCAAAACTTAAACTCATCAGATAACCTGGGGGTTCCATTGCTTCCCCACCAAGGCCTTTCTTTTTAGCCTCCTTCTTCCATATAAATTGGACCAGCTGCTCTCCAAGTCTGGAGCAGGGGCCTGGCACTGACTGAGCCCTTCTTCTGGGTAGAATTCTGTTCCTAGAATTCTAACTCTTCGGTTTACTCCTTGAGTTTATTGGCGCACAACTTGCAGCTTCCTAAGAATGGGTGCATGGGAAGTAAACTGCCAGGGCCCTTGACTGTCTCTTTTTTCTACCTTTGCATGAGATTGAGAATTTGGCTAGGTATTTTAAGTATTTAGGTAGGTATTTTTAGTTGAAAATCAGTTTCCTTCAGAATTTTTAAAGTATTGTTTTATCGCTCCTAGTTATCTGGTGTTGTTGAAAAGTATGATGCAATTTTGATGAATATGCCTTTGTATGTGACCTGTCTTTTCCCCCCAAAAGCTTTTAGGGTCATTTATGTGCCTTAGTGTGAGTTTATTTTTTTAATTCTTTGTGCTGAGCACTCAGTGATTCCTGTCAACATAGAGACTTTTGTCCTCAGTTCCAGGATACTCTTATATTATTATTTCTTTGACATTTCTCTCCCTTTCAATTCTTTTCTTTTTTCTTTTGGAATGCCTAAAAATCAGATGTTAAACCTCCTTTAATTTTATTGTATTTCCCTATTTTCGTTTGTTCTGCATTCTAGATTTCCTTAATTTTATATTAACCCTGCTATTGAAATTTTAAACTTCGCTATCATAATTTTCTAGATTTTTATTATGAAAAATACCAAACTTATAGAAAAGTTTAAAGAATGGACACCATATAGCCTACACCTAGAATCAACAATTGTTAATATTTTGTCATCTTTGTTTTACCTATCTATATGCATATATATAGATAGATTTAAGTTTTTGCTGAATCATTTGAGGGATGTTGCAGGTATCATAACACTTCATACCTAAATACTTAGGATAGAGCAGGTACCTCCTAAGGACAAGAATACTCTCCTACTTACTGTAATGCCATTATCACTAAGAAAATAAACTATTATCCTCTAATATTATCCAAAATCCAAATGCACATGCTAATTTCTTTATTTGTTCCCCAAATGTATTTTATGGCTACTTTTAGTATTTGAACCAGAATCCAGTTGAGGTTCACACATTGACATTTAATAATTCAGTAATTAGATTAGGTGATGTTGAAGTGAGAAATAGTGAACTGGAATCTAGATCAGAAGTTACCTAGAATACCACACAGGGAATCAAGGAGATGAGGAAGCTTTTAAGAAGAAAGAAAAAAAGAGGTTAAGATATATGCAGGATAAAGCAAGGTAAGTTCAGCACACAGCTAGTTGGAGTTCTAGAAGAAGATAATAGAAAGTGTGGGGAGGATTAATATTTTGAGAGATTTTTCTACAATTGGTCAATGGCTCAGATTCATATTCATGAATCCCAATGAATCCTAAGCAGGAAAGATATAAAGAAATATATGTTTAGATACAACATAGCGACATTGCAGGGTACCATAGAGAGAAGATCTTAAAAGCAGACAGAGAGAAAAGGCAGATGACCTATTAAGAATGACTGCTGATTTCAACAAAAATGTAAGCCAGAAGACAGTAGTGAGAATCAACCGAGGACTGCTTACTCAGGAAAACGATTACAAGATGAGAGCAAATTTCATACAAAAAAAAAATCGAGAATGCTTACTACAAATAGACCCTCACTAAAGAAACTTGTAATCAGTGTATTTAGGAAAAAGTAAAATATCCTGGAAGGAAAAGTTTAAGACTCAAGAAGGAACAGTAAACAAAGAAATTGGTAAACATATATGCATAAATCTAAGCAAATATTGACTGTGTTAAACATTACATTATTTTCTAATTTTTAAGGTTGAAAAATCAAGATAGAGCTAAAATTCTGAAAATAATGGCATATTAGTTAGGAGGGGAGTACTTGGAGTTAAAGTGCTCTATGGTCCTCATCTTGTTTATGAGAAAAATAAAACTGTTGATCAATTTCAGGCTCTGTCATAATAAATATGTATGTTAACAATTTAGGGCAATCACTGAATAAAATAGAGCTAGTTAATAACTTCCAAACTAGTAGGAAGAAAAAAATGAGAGAAAACACTTTGAATCAATTTTTTTAAAAGGCATAAAGAAGAAAGAAGTATTGTTTAAAAAGCTATACATACAGAAAGGTTATGGTTAAGATGATAGAAATAAAATTTGAAAATAGTATCAATGCTCATAACCAATGTAAATAGACTAAAATCCCCAGTTAAAAGACAAAGGTTTTCAGATTGGATTTTAAAAAGTTACAACAGTTTATAAGAAACACACTCAAGACATCAGGAAATAGAAATGTTGGAGGTACAGGAAAGAAAAAAAAATATGTCAAGCAAAAACTTGCCCCCAAAGCTTATGTACCTACATTAATATCCAATTAGGTTGAATTTAAAGCAAAAAACCAAAATACCAAAAAACCAAAACTTTCTTAGAGATAAAAAGGGTCATTACAAATTCCTAGAAAAATAAATATTACCACTGACTCAAGAAGAAAAACAATTTCAAGTGATCCCATAGTTATTGAAGAGGTTGCATCAATAAATAAAAATCTTCCCTTAAGAAAACACTGCCAAAATTCTACCTAATATTTAAGGAACATAAAGTTTTCATCTTACACAATCTATTTCACAAACTAGAAGAAGGGACTTTCCCCTCATTTTATGAGGTTAGTATAACCTTGCTAACAAAATGGGACAGCACAACAAAGGGAAATAATGAGCCAATCTCACTAATTATCATATATGTGAAAATCTAAATAAAAAATTTGCATACTAAAATTCAGGGCATACTAAAAGATAATACATTCTAAGTTTGGTTTATTTTAAGAAGTTTGGTTTATTCTTATTCAAAGATTGCCAGGGGTCAACATCAGAAAACTTATAAATATAATTTTGCATATTAACTGTTTAAAGGAGGAAAATCATGATTTTCTCAGCAAATGCAGAAAAAGTATTTGATAAAGTTCAACAACCGTTTATGATTTTAAAAGAAATTCTTAGCAAAGTCGTAATAGAGGGGAACTTCTTTTGTGTGCGTGTTAGTTTCTGTCTTTTTTTTTTTAAGATTTTTATTGGGGAATTGGGGGATGGGAACAGCACTGGGGAATTGGGGGAAGGGGAACAGATAAACTGCTGTCCTTTTGTTCCTCAGTCTAGTTGTGGAGGATGTTGCTTCACTGGCCCAAGTTGGCACCATCATTGCGCTCTTCCCAGGTGAGGCAGATCAGTCGCCGGCTTCTGGACGGCCGCTCACTGCGGCTACTGGACGCTCACACTGGCTACTAGCTACACACAGTAGCCCATGGCTACCCACTGCAGCATGGGCTGCAGCCTAGCCATTGCCGGAGACTCACGGCAGCCCAACTCCAGGTCGAGCCATTGTTCAGCATCTTAGTTGTAGAGGGCAGTGTCACTGGCCCTCATATGTGGGATCTGAACCGGGGCCCTCTGGCGTCCCAAGGCAGCTCTTAATCAACGCACCACTCGGCCGGCCCTCTTGTCTTTTTTTAAAATTAAAGTTTATTGGGGTGGCAATTTTAGTAAAGTTACATAGGTTTTAGGTGTACCATTCTGTAATACTTCATCTATATATCTATATGGTTATGGAAGGAGAACTGACTCTGGGTGGTGAGCACATAATGCAATATATAGATGATGTATAATAGAATTGTACACTTGAAATCTATGTAATTTCACTAACCATTGTCACTGCAATTAATTTAATTTAAAAAAGAATATTCCCTTTAAACTTGGGAACTACACAAAGATTTCTGTTAGCTTCTGTATTGTTAATATTATACTGGAGGGGTTAGCCAGTGCAATAAAACAAGAATTAGGCTGCTGAATACAGTTGTGCATAATGTATCGGGCAGCCTGTCATTATTTGCAAATCACCTAACTATATAGAAACATGGAATCTACAGACCAATAACTTGGAATCTGCAATCAAATTATTAGAGTTACTGAGTTTAGTAATATATTGGATATAAGAGTCAAATGAATGTTTATGCCAGAGAAATAGTTACAATTTTAAGAAAGATGCCATTTATAAAAATAACAAAAGATGCCCAGAAATAAATCTGCCAAAGGATATTGAAGACTTTTACAGTGAAAATTAGAAAACATTTGATTGAAAGGTATTAAAGAAGACCTATTTAAATGAAGAGACATCCATCCCCCTTTTTTATGGATAAGAAGACTCAGTATTGTCAAGAGATGCATTCTTCCCATGTTGATTCAATGCAATCCCAATGAAAATCCCAACAGGATTTACTCAATACTCTGATTCTAGAATTGAAATGGAAAGGCAAAGAGCCAGGTGTAGCAAAAACAGTGCTGAGGAAGAAAAACAAGTTGAGAGGACTTGCTCTATTGCAGCAGTTCTCAATCTGTGGGTCGCGACCCCTTTGGAGGTCGAACGACCCTTTCACAGGGGTCGCCTAAGACCATCGGAAAACAAAAAGATACTTACATTACGACTCATAACAGTAGCAAAATTACAGTTATAGAGTAGCAANGGGACATGCTTGGTACACAGGCAATTTCAGAGCTATCTTTTTAGGAAGATGGGAACAGACAAAAGCAGGGCTTTTATCTTCCTGAGTGGCGTGTGTAAATGTCCTTGAGACTCTAGAGGGGAGGCTGTGGGATGAGGCCTACCTCCTGTGACACAAGGCAAAGAACTAATGGGAAATGTGGGAGGAACAGAAATTAAATGAATCAATCACCAGCACATACTGTTTTGAAAACCTCCTCCCAAAAATTAATTAAAAGCAAAAACAGATTATTGTCCCTTTACTTCCCATAAAGGGATCCAACCTTTTAATCACCTCTTGATTGTTTGGCTGGATATGACCAGTGGGACTTTCTTACCTAAATCTCCTTGACAGATGTCAGTTCTATTGGCTCCATCAATGATAAATCTGGGATTCTCGCAAATTTCCTGTGAAACAAAAAGGAAAGAATAATAGCAGTGGTAGCTATTATTTATTGAGGTTCATTATGCAGTACTGGTCTACAGTATCAGGAGTTTTACATACACCACTCATTTAAGCCTCCAAAAACAGCCTGTGAATTGGATGTTATTCTTATTTTTCAGATAAGGAAACCGAGGCCCAGAGGTTTTAAGAAACTTGCCCAAGGACACACAGCCAGCAAGTACTAGAAACCAGAGGCATGCTTCCTTTTCCCATTGTTCCAAATTGCTTCCTCACACTGATATACTATACTGTTTTATTAAGGATGCACCCTGAGAGGGCAGTGTCATCACTGTCACTGCTTTGGCCAAGGGACAACAGAAAGCATGGGTCTTGTTTCCCCACGCCTGGAAATGACAGGAAAAGAGGTGCAGGAGAGAAAATAAGGCTCTTTCTCCCCAAGATGTGGTAACAGATATTTAGAGTCAGCATATGTCCTAGGGTCCATAGGACTTGAGAACTGGAGAGCAGAAAGTTAGATTCGGTGTGGGCCTCAGAGACTGTCCCGTCTGTGGAGTGTACATTTCTTTATTGAAGCTAATCCAATATGGCACCCCTGGCCCAGCAGTTAAGTGTGACCCAACAGAGGCCAACAGAGGATACTCTTGTTTTTGTTTGGATGTNTGCTCTATTGGATGTCAAGACTTATTTGCACAAGGTGTAGTGTTGGCACAAAAACATATAAATAAACACAAATGGAACACAACAGGGAGTGCAGAAACAGAACCACTCATTGATAGACGCTTGATTTACTTAAAAAGTGGCATTGCAAAACAGTGGAGAAAGGATTGTCTTTTCAATAAATTGTGTTGAGAACTTTGACTATCCATAGTCCATGGAAAAACAACAAAATGTGATCCCTATTTTATATTATATGCAAAAATCATTTCTAGATGGATTATAGACCTAAATATAAAGGCAGAAAAATAAAGTTTCTAAATGATAATAGAGAAGAATGACTTTGGCTTAGGAAAAACTTTAACAGAACACATAAAGCATTAACCATAAAGGAAAAAATAATAAATTAAGGATTAATTAAGAACTTTTAATTAAGACTTTTTTTAAAAAAATTTTAAATAAAAATAAAAGAGAGTGAAAAGGCAAGCCACAAAGTGGGAGAAGATATTTATAGTTCATCTAACCAATAAATGATTGGTATCAGGATATACAAAGAAAGCCTACAAGCCTACAATTCAAGCTGAAAAAGACAAACAATAGAAAAACGAGCCAAAGATATTAACAGGTATTTCATGGACAGCAACATAACAAATGGTCAAGAAATACATAAATGCATGAAAAGATTCTCTGACTTATTCATAATCCGGGAAATGCATCTTTTCATACATCTCTTGGCTATTTCTGTCCCTGCCCCTCCCACTGGAAGCATTCTATTGCTGAGTTTTTCAGCATGTTTACTATAATGTCTAGAGGTCTGTCCCCCTCATGACTCTCAGGAGGAGCTGCTGTCTTTGGGATATAGTGGGAAGCAGCCCTAAATGTTATTTATAGAATTGTCACTTTCACCAAAAGATGGCACTGTCATGATTCTCTGCTGAGTAGAGAGAGGGAGGGCTGGCTCTCAGTTAGGCACCTCATTTTGCCTTTCAATCACTGTCATCTCTATTTATTGATTCATTGTGCTAAGCAGGTCATATACAGTATCTCATATAATCCTTATAACAACTCTATGAAAATAGGAAGTTTCATTTTTTTTTTCACAAATGAGGAAACTGAGACCCAGGAAGGTCAGCAGCTTGCCTGAGGTCACATTATTATTATTATTATTATTATTATTATTATTATTATTATTATTACTACTACTAATAATAATAAGAGGTGGAGCTGGGATTAGAATCAAGTCTGTGACTTGGAAGCCTGTGCACTTCATCATTGTGTTATGCTCCTGTCCTTTGCTGTTTAAGCTAATAGTAACCCTGCCTGCCTTGAGCACATAGGAGGGCTTTATGGATGCTGGCTCATAGCAGCCATAAGGTGAGAATATTATTATCCCTATGACAGAAGAGAAAAATGAAACTTATAAAGTTTATGTGACTTGCTAGTGGCAGACTTGCCAGGGTTCAGAACAGGTCTGTTGGGTTCTAAATCCTGCTGTCTGAACCACTGTGCACAATGCTCTCAGTTCTTCCTCTTTCTGGCCAGCCCAGGGATCCCACTTCTCTGTAAACTGTCTGCCAGATGACACTCTAAAACAGATTACAAGGAGACCTCCTGCCAAGCCAAGTTCACTGGAAGATAAATAATATCCCTGAGAGACACAGCGACTGGGACCTAGCCCTAAGAACAGAGGGCTCACTGCCCCCAGCCTAGGTTTTTCTGTAGTTCTGCCCCCTCCCTCTCATCTCACACTGGCATGGAGCAACTAATTTTGTGCCAATGTAGGAGTTCTTTTCAGAACTGAATAACACAGATCAAGTGAACCTTTGGTTGGGAAGCTACATAGGGTGGAATGTTAATTATAGAGGCCGTGGGGTACATGGAAAAAGTCATTAGAGCAGGAGACGTCTGGTGTCATCACAGGTTGTCAGATAGTTTTCAACTTCAGAGTGCTGATGTAATGGCCAAGTACTGGGTCCTAGGAAGTCGGTGGTCAGCCACCCTCTACATTTCACCCCTGTTCTTTAACTCCATTTCAGACTAAAAGGAACCAGGCTCCTTGAAGAAATGATTCATTCCAGGTCTGGGGCAAAAAATGTATAAGATGAGCCTGGGACATTTTGTTGTGGCCAGAAAACAAGGAAACTATTTAAGATTAATGGGGTCATGTCAAATTATACGGGTAACTTGTAGGTGATTCCTACTGTCCAAAGACGGGACAAAGTGAACATCAAAAAGAATAATGACTGCAATGGATTCAAGTATGTTACAATGTTTTTTACTGATCACACTCTTAATAAGGTATTGTTCAAGCTGTGATATTTAAGAATACAGAGAGAATAGGAAGTACAGTCGCTTCTCGTTATTCGTGGTCATATTCTATAAAATTGCTGGGAGTGCTGAATTAGTGAATATTGAACTGTTGCTCCTAGAGGAAATACGGGAATAGATTCCTGTGAGTCTCTGGTCACAACAGTTTCATCAATTGATCAATACACAACCTTATTTTATGTGTGTTTTTGTTTAAAGACCCCTTATTTAATATACATTATTGATTTATTAACATTGAACTCACAGCCAACAGCACCAACTCGTGACTGAATGAAGCTTATCTAACACGTGTATTTTCTTCCTAAGGTACATCACAGCCTTCTTGAACTTAGGAACATCAGACAGCACTTCGGTGCTATGCTTGGGGGACATTTTAAACAGAGAAAGCACTGACAGTAAGTGCAAAAAATGTAAAAACTGCGGCACTAAATACACCATGAAAAGAACTGAAACAAGAAGGCAGCGTGTTGCTTTGTTTGGCTTCAGTTGTGAACATGTCCCTAGGGCAACTCACATTTTTCACTGTCCTACACATGTCCGCAAATGACCACAGAAGCACCATGGATATTGATTGTGGGGTTACAAATAAATTTTAGCGAGTAGGTGAATTCACAAATATAGAATCCGTGAATAATGAGGCTCAACTGTATGTGAATCACAGCACTGACATTATCAGTGTTGGATAAATCATACCTGTGGGGTAAAGTTAGAGGAGTTTTATGACTATCTGAACTGAAGCAATTAAAGGAAGGATGACATTATTTACGAATTACTACAATATATAGAGGTAATCAGCTGACTCCATTTTACTGTCTTCTGGTTCAAAGCCAGAAATAATGTGCTAAATTGTGGCCAGTGGAGTTCTGGCTAGAAATAAGGATGAACTTTGAGACTATGAACGGTACTAACTGTAGGTTATTGAAGATGGGGGCATCCATTTTCCCTTCAAAACCTTAGCATCAGGAAAGAAACCCTTCACCTGGAATGACTAAAAGAAGGAGTTCCCAAACATTTTCAATCCTATGCTTTATAAGGAGTTTTTAAGATCAGTTTTTATACTAGATTTCTGGTGTTCTAGGGATATATAAAAAACTCGTAAAAGTTCTGATGGTGATTATTTAAACTTGAAGTTTGGATGAAAATGGTAAAGAAAGCATCAGCTTCTCTTCAGCAGAATAATTCCCAGGTGTTAGCTGGGGCCTCAGGGCTCCTTGGAGATCTCAAACCTCCACTTCACAGCCACTGAGAGGCCAGAGCCTCCTCATCCCACCAGAGTTCCTTGGTTTCCTGGCAGTTTGCTTCTTCCAGCTCTCCTCCTCCCCCCACCCCCACTGCTTTCCACACTCTGACTTCCCGTGTGCTGGTTCAGCCCTGCCTGTGTAAATCGATACCAACTTCCTCCCTTTACCCAAAAGTTACTTGCCACAGGCATTTCACAAGTTCATCAGTAAAGACGTCTGAGGGTCAGGTCAAGTGGAGGGATGACGCTGAGCTGTGCGGCTCCTGTCCTGCTGTTTCCCCCACCCCGCCTTTGGGTTCTAGCTGTCCTCCCTCTTGTAAGAAAACTAGCATTTTCCTCCCCCCTTTTCCCCTCCACTAGAAAACAATCATGTTCTCCCTCAGAAAGAATTTATTTTCTGTAATCACAAGAATCTTCCTAATTTTTTCTTACGAATTTGCCTCTTGAAAAGACAAGGGGAAGAATTTGCCATGCTAAGGATTCACATTTGTTCAGCACACTTGGCTAAACAGGTGTAAAAAAATCAAAGATGATTTTGTAGTAGTAACAAGACCTAACCTGAAGAATTGTAACAGCCTTGGGACAAGGGAGAAGCTAGTTCTGCTGGGATGACGAGGACGCGGGAAGGGGCAGGAGACCAGGTCAACCAGACAGAAGCGAAACCCAGCAGGTATGGTTGGATCTGTGCTGATAGGCATCATGGGAGAAAGAAATGGTTTGAGAAGAGGAGTAGAAAGGGGATGGCAGAACTGTGAGTTAAGTGGGAAAGGGTCTTATTTGTCTTATTTTTCCATTCTAAGGCACTTTGCCCCTCTCGCATTTAAACACCTCTGAAATTGTGATGCATCTTACATTGGAAAGCTTCCTTCAATTGCATTCAGTTGGGTGGTTGTCATGACCTGTGGACACCCTCTGATACAATCAAGAAAATACCAGCACCAAAATCTTCTGGACTTGCTGAAATGTGATTCACGATGAATTGCAGCTTGGGGAACTTAGCTAAACTCTATGCTTGAAAAGACTGTAATTCAAGAGCTTTCCAGGTATGGGAACTACAGTGACATAAAATCACATGTTCAGAGTATAAAGGGGCTGCTGTCTGGGAGGGAGATTTCCTCAGGTCCAGGTGTTGGCAGAGGGAATTAGTTGGGCCCAGAAGTATAGAAGAGCAGGGCCAAGCGCCAGGTTAGACCAACTGGGATAAGCACAGCTGGACTGGGATGGTAATCATAATAACAGGTAAGAGGGAAGGCATACACCATAGAAATGTGGGTGAAGATGAGAACCAGCTCTGAACTAGCAAAATGTGGCGCCCTGAAAAGTTGGAGGGATGGGGACAGGATTTGAGAGGAAGAGGTAGGTTAGGCAGCCGTTGACTGGAGGTCCAGCCACTGCCAGCAAAGTAGGAAGCATAGGATCTGGATATAAGAAGAAGGTGGTAAATTCTCCCACCCTTAACAGCTGATGGAAACAAAGAGAGCTGAGCAGAAAATTGCGAAGGGAAAATGCAGAGTCCCAGCTCTCAGCACCAGGAGCTTTGGAGGGCAGAGGAGAAAGGGAGAGCTGATTTCTAGGGGAAGAGCTGGGGGATAAATTGGAGGTGCTTGATAGCACTTGTGTTTTTATAACCAAACACACATTTTATATTCAACTTATTTAGTTGATTGTAATTGCCTTAAGACACAATCAGGGGCCGGCCGAGTGGCACGATGGTTAAGAACTCGCTTGGGATGCCAGAGGGCCCCGGTTCGGATCCCACATATGAGAGCCAGTGACACTGCCCTCCACAGCTAAGATGCTGAACAACAGCTCAACCTGGAGCTGGGCTGCCCTGAGTCGCCGGCGCCGGCGACGGCGTAGGCTGCACTCCCTGTGGCAGTGGGTTGCCATGGGCTACCGTATGTAGCCAGCAGCCAGCGTGAGCGGCCAGCAGCCGCAGTGAGCGGCCGTCCAGAAGCCGGCGACTGATCTGCCTCACCAGGGAAGAGCGCAATGACGGTGCCAACTTGGGCCAGTGAAGCAACACCCTCCACAACTAGATTGAAGAACAAAAATGACAGCAACTTGTATGTTCCCCTTCCCCCAGTTCCCCAGCACTGTTCCCATCCCCCCAATTCCCCAATAAAAAAAAATCTTAAAAAAAAAGAAGACGCAATCACATATCCTCATGTTTAGTTGGACCAATTCATTTAGATCAGGCTCAACACAAGCACTCAGAGACATTGCTGTGGTGAATATCTTGATTGGTTCTAGACACAAATTAAGCTGGAAAGATGTTAATAATGTTGCCTCTTTTAAGAGACTGCACAGCTCGTGTAGGTGGTGATAAGAGGAGAATAATTCTCTTCTTCTTCATTGCTATCGTCTTCATCTTCATCATCTGATTGTAATAAGTAATACCTGATTGTGAAGAAAAATGCAGATTGATTTTCAGTGAATCTGGGCCTTAGATAGTAAAAGCAGGAAGGATATAGTCTCCTTTTCAGACTGCTCAAGCATGGCAAAGTTCACTGCATCAGTGGTGTATATGGAAAATGTATGTCTCCAAGAAATGCTTTACATTTCAGGAAGCTCAGAAGTCATTTCAGTTGTTCCGTTTCAGTCAGCTCATTGTGTGACTATAGATAAGTCATTTGCCCTTTCTGGATCTTAATCACTTCACCTACATGTAAGGGGGCTCGACCACATTTCCAAGATTCATTCCAACTCTGACCATCTCTATACATGCTAATTTATGCTAATAAACCCAATAGGCTGTTCCCCCATCTTAACCCCAGGGGAAAGGGTCATATTAACTGAGAGTGGGCTTTGCTATGTGGACCTGTAGCAACAGTAGAAAATTCAGGATTTTTGTTGCTGTTGGTGGAAGCACAATGTGGAACAGATTCGTCTTCTGGTGCCTCTCATGTCACACTGACAATGTAACGTTTAGGACAGATCTAGTGCTTAGAGCATAATAGACCCTTAAAACATTTTTATTAACATTCAAGTCTAGCTTTTAAGACTAAAATCCACCAATGATTTCACTATAAACAGTATTTGTAAGGTTTTAAATTTTTTCTCTGCAGTAGTATTAGAAAGGCTTTCAGGAACTTCCAGACTTGGAATGCAGGGCTGTCCTTGTCTCTGAGTGGTCAGCGCCTTCAGATGTGGGGTTTCATTCACCAGCAGCAGCTGAGTATCTACCAAGGGCCTGGCCCTTTGCTGGGTAAGGGGGTCCAAAGAGGAACAGGAATGGACCCTGCTCTCAGAAGATGAGAAAGCTTGAAGGAAGGGACACCTGAATAGAATTTTGGAAGGAGGATGAGGAGGAGCAAATCACATGAAAACAAGAAGGGCGTTCCGGACAGACAGACAGACAGACAGACAGCATGAGCAAAGATCTCCAGGTATGAGAAGACTTGGAGAAACAGAACAGCCGGATATGTCAGGGTCCAAGGGGAGAGGGTGAAGATGAGCTGGACAGGTAGGCAGAGCCAGTGTGAGAAGGGCCTATATCTCAGTTAAGAGGTTTGGACTTATCTTGAAGGCATGGGGAGAGGGGGGAGGCTGGTGTCATAGAAGATATGTCAGCAGGAGGGGTGGGGGAGAGGTTGGGGGGGAGGTGGAGGGTGAGGGAGTGGTGACATGCCCCTATACTCTGGCAGCAGGGCAGCAACTGGGTTGGAGAATAAAGTTCTTTCAAGTCCTCATTTCTAAATTGAGGGCCCTCAGGATAGTCACGGACCTCACCGCAGAACTGTCAGGATAGGAAAGGAGCCCTGTGGAACACACAGGGTGACAACAGGATTGGGTATTTCATCTCAGATTAAAAAGAAAAACATGCCTAATGAACAGCATCGGGCCTCAGCTTAACTTGATTAAACAAACGAAAAGCACTGGGCCTCAGAGTAAATGATTTCCTCGGGGAGGGTTTCTCTCCCTGACCTAGGTTAGCTCTCTTTGCCTTACGATCCCCTGAACATTGTCTCCTGACAGTCACCTCTCCTATTCAATGCCCATCTTGACCTCAGGACTAGGCTTCCAGAGAGCAAGAAGGTTTGTCTTATTTACTGCTGTCTCCCCAGTTGCTTGCCTGGTTTCTGGCTCTTGTAGGTGCTCAGTAAATATTTCTTGACTTAAGAACAAGAGTCATACTGAGGGTATGATCAGAGAAAGGAGCCAGGAGAATATGACTTGCCTTCTGGTAGATCACTGTAAATGAAACCCAGAGGCTGGAAGAGTTTCTTAAAAGAGAAAGTGTTTTAATCTGGGAGGTCATGCGCTCACTGGCTAGACTTCCCTCTGGTGTGCCTGTATTTCCTCCTTTGTGAAGTGAGGAATATGGACAAAACAATTGCTCGGGATTCTCCTTCAAATCCTAACCTTTTATGCATGAAAAAGTCATCTTTGCCTGCCACGCTCCTCTTTCCGGGGCTTCAGTGTTTCAGAAAGACATGGCTACCGGCAAACTAAAGGACAGCCACATGAAATAACCCAAGAAAATGAAGGAATCTTATAAAGATATAAGTTATTTAAACAGACAGGCCTGATCTGGACTGTTTGAAATTTGTTCTGGGAAAGGAATATTTACTCTTATAGGATGAATTCAACTGGGTTCCAATTACTTTTATAAAAAGCAAGTTTCTCCCTCCCCCCCTCCCCCATCAAGACTGAGACCAAGAGTGAGACTCAGCCGTGCCTCACCTGAGGACATAGCCCAGTGGAGCTGCTGCCAGGATCCTTCCCTCAGCGCCCATGTGCACAGCGAAGCTGTGGGGAGGTGCTGAGTGGGAGGACTTCTCTGAGGCAAAACCCCCAACCAGCCACCAGTAAGCTACTCACCGGAGGCCTCTTCCAGACGAACTGGATAGGGAACTTCTGGCTATAAAAGAGAGAGGTCTCATCCGGTGGGAACTCAGGATCCACAAAAAGAAACTTCTTTTCTAGACATTTCTTGTGAAGCTGCTCAAAGGTCTTCTCTTTCACTCCGATAATCGGAAAATTGCGGCTGATGATGGCTGAATAGATGCCACTCGGGTTTCCGCCCCCGGCCTCAGTGGTCTTGCTCTGGGCTGGACGGGGAATCGGCCCTGGGGACCTGGGCTCAGCCCCTGTCTGTGGGGCCACAGACGCGCTAATGATGGTCGGCATGGCAGGCAAATTTGAAAGGAAAAGGTTTTTAAAGAAAACAAGATACGGCTACCTTCAAGGAAAGGAAGCAACTGCAAAGGGGAAGTTGGAGTGATTCTGTCATCTGAGAGAAGAATGTCCACATCCAGTTCAAAGTTTAAAGCCCATCAGAAGGTCATCCAGCTTCTGTCCATCTTAAAAACTGAGCCGTGATCCCGAGGCCATAAGTTCTCTTGAGGAAGGAACACTAAAGGATTTCTACAGCAGTTTTTACTACTGGGGGGCTCCTACCAGCACATACATGCCAGAGGGAGAGAAAGAGTGTGAGGGTTGTGTTTCTGTGGCCTGAAGAAGCTCGAGCCAGGAAAACTAAAAATAGACATGAAGAAAGATCATGAGCATGAGAGTAAGAGAGAGGCTAGCGAGCAGCTAGACTGCATGGCCGAGAGAGAAGGACCTGGCTAAGGATATGTATGTGTTATCATTAAGTGCTGGTGTCGGGGAAATGAAAGGGAGATATCTGAGTAAATTGAACACTGAAAATTAGTGAAGACCTGCTGATGCGTTGTTGAATCTGCACTTAGGCTATCAAACTATTGGCCACCAAATTAACAGAAAATAACACTGAAAAAAGCTAGCAAGGGTGAATATGAGATACTGAGTTTTAGGAGAATATTCTAGGTATGTTTGAGAACATGATTTTTACTTTCTAAAACACTAGGATATCAGAGCATTTCAATTGGTTTGGGCATCTCTTCTAGAATGTGCTGGTGTCAGCGTTCAGCAGAGCTGTCTGGTTGGAAAATGCCCTCAGCAGAGTCCTCAGTTGAGGAAATCCCTGTTTCTCCTTCCCCACTTGATCTAGCCACCTCTTGTCTCTCCCCACTCCCCAAGTAAACACTGGGGTCAAATCTACAAAAAGTGCACCTGAATACAGGTTGTTTAGGCATGCCACGTTATGCATCTGAGTCAGAGTTGGGATTGGATACTGAACCAGGTTGGCCATCCAGTCCTGGGATGTCACACCAAAAGGGTTGGTTTTGGGGCTCTTAGATGAGAGCACAAGTGGCTCTGGGGAAGGGAAGTGCCTGCCTGGTTTCCACCTTGTCTGTTACCCACAGTAGCTGCTATCCAGGCTGTAAGGAGATGGCTACAACCAAATATGGTTGAGTGGAGGCTTGTCCCAGACTGCACCCTTGCATGTTCCCGTGTGACCAGGATCATCAGCCCAACGCTAGAGGCTATGAGACAAAGTTGGAGGTGACAGCTGAAAGTTGGAGGGGAGTTCTACCAGGCTCTTGATCCTGGGGGTTGCAGCTTTGAGGAGCCCTGTGTATGGAGTTGCAACTTGGAGGAACCATCAGCCTATCCTCCTGTCCCTCTAAGGAGATGCCCAAAAATCTTTACTACTACTTTTGGAAAGACAGAAAAAGGAAGTCAGCCTCTGTAGACTGACTGCCCAAGTTCAAAGTCTAGGCCTGCTGTTCACTGGCTGTACCTGTGTAATTTGAGGTGTCCTGTGTCTCAGTTTTCTCATTTATAACATGAGTATAATGATAGTTATTCTGTTATTGAGTTATTGTCAAAATTAAACAAGGTAATTTATGTAATACATTTAAAATAGTGCCAGGTTTGTTTGAAGCACTCGGTAAATGTTGTTGTTAGAGATGACGCAAATTTAATATTACTTTGGGATTAGAACTGGTTGAGTGATAGTCACTCATTGGTCCAAATCAACACTGACTCCATGAGCATTTCCTGAATCCCTTTCATGTGTACACCACCGGGATAGGTGCAATCTGCCCAGGATCACATGGTCACAGCATTTCCAATCAGGGCATGTCTACCTGCCTGCACTAAAAGAGCCTATAGAAAGACTGCCTTCTACCGATGGCATGGAATGCAAAGTGGGGAGTTTCCTTCCCCTGTCATCGTATGTGTGAGTTCCAGCCCAGTGCTCTATCTATCCCACCTTGGAATTCATAGCACTGACCCACATTTTATTGTTCCTGCCTATTAAGCTTCCTGTCTATCCACAGGACGATAAGCTCCATGAAGGTGGGAACGGTGTCCCCACTCCACTCTCAGGGTTAAACATATAAAAGGCTGTTAATAAATATGTGTTGCGTATCCACTGAATGAAATTTCCCTATGTGAGGAGATATTTCTTACACTTCTTATTGCTTTGGAAATGCAGTCAAAGTTTCTTGGCTGATTTGCCCCTGGGGGGAGGAGCTATTTCTAGGCCACACACATGCTGACCTTTCTTTTCTCAGCTGTCTAAGCCAGCTCCATCTGTTAGTAACTAAGCCAAGTGCGTGACAGAGATGAACCTCTTGTCATAGCAGGATGGGCATATCAAACACAGAGTGCAAAGTGCTATCCATTTTGCTCTACCAATTGTTGTGAATAAAATCCCCTTTCAGATTAGCAGGTCCAAACTCAAGATGTATTCAGCTGTCCAGCTGCAGAAATGCATGCTACCAGGGAGAAATCAATCTGAGCCCATGAGCAAAGGGCAGATAATGAGCATGTAACAGCTGCATATTTCAATTCCCAGAAGCCTCTTCAAAGATAAATAACTAGTTTTATAACGTATTTCAGCCAAGGACATGCAATATCTATGGCTGGAATGGTTTCTGTTGCAACAACAAGGAACATTAGTGGCTCTGTATCACCGTGTTTTCTACCAGTCTTAGATTCTGTGCTGTTAGAAGCAATGTATTTGCTTATAATTATAAAACCCACCATTCTTTAAGTGCCTACTGTACACTAGCTACTTTACAGTCTTAAAAACTTTTAAAGTCATTTTAGATTTACAAAAAAAGTTGAAAAGATAGTACAGAGTTCCTGTATACCCTACACCCAGCTTCCTCTAATATTTACACATTATATAACCATGGTACAATGATCAAAACCAAGAAATTAACGTTGGTATAACGCTGTTAACTAAACTACAAGACATATTTTGATTTCTTCAATGTTACCACTAATGGGTTTTTTTCTCCCTTCTGTTATAGGATCTGATCCAAGACCCTGCATTACATTTAATTGTCATGCCTCCTTAGTGTCCTTCAATCTCTAACAGTCCCACAGCCTTTGTCTCTTCTGACCTTGGCACTTTTGAAGAGTACTTGTCAGGTACGCTGTAGAATGTCCCTCGACTTGAGTTCGTCTGATGTTTTTCACATGATTAGACTGAGGTTATGGGTTTGGGAGAAGAATATCATGGAGGTGATGTGCCTTTCTCATTAAACCATATCTGGGGGTATATGATATTTATGTATTTTATGACAGGTGATGTCAACTTTGATCACTTGTCTGAGGTAGTGTTTACCAGGTTTCTCCAAAGTAAAGTTACTTTTTCTTCCTTTTCATATGCATAGAATATTTTTAATCTGTACAGCAACCCTGCTGGTTGGATTAATACACACACACACACACACACACACACACACACACACACACACACACACGAGGTCTGACAATCAAGTTTGTGAACTTGTTGCAACCATGTTGTTAACCTTTTTTGATACCAGAGGGATTATTCATTATGAATTTGTACCAACTGGACAAACAGTTAACTAAGTTTACTATTTGGAAGTGCTGAAAAGGTTGAGTGGAAAAGTTAGATGACCTGAACTTTTTGCCAACAATTCAGGCTCTTACATCACGACAATGCACCAGCTCACACGGCACTGTCTGTGAGGGAGTTTTTAGCCAGTAAACAAATAGCTGTTTTGGAACACCCTCCCTACTTACCTGACCTGGCCTCAAATGACTTCTTTCTTTACCAGAAGATAAAGGAAATATTGAAAGGAAGACATTTTGATGACACTCAGGATATAAAGGGTAATATGACGACAGCTCTGATGGCCATTCCAGAAAAAGAGTTCCAAAATTGCTTTGAAGGGTGGACTAGGCACTGGCAGAGGCGCATAGCTTCCCAAGGGGAGTACACCGTAGTGATATTCAGCAATGAGGTATGTAGCACTTTTTCTAGGATGAGTTCGCGAACTTAATTGTCTGACCTCATATCAGTTATAAAATGGTCAGCTATAACTGATTAATATATCTGCTGTATTTTTCAGTTAAATTATGGAAAACTCACAGAATTTTAGAGATTATCTCTTTTCTTTAACAAATGAAGAAACCAAGAGAGATTAAATGACATGGCCAAGATCACTCAGCTAGTTTACTGCAGAACCAAACTAGAACCCAGGTCTGTTGATTTCCAGTGAAGGAAATGCATGACTAAGACTCCAACAATGTGATTTAGGCATAGATCTCTGGATCTTTGCATATAAATAGCCAGGGCTTCCCTGCTCCTACCTCTGATTGGAGAGGAATTTAACACCATCAGCTCTGCTGGAAACAACAGTCCAGATGCAGCTGTCTAATTCTGGTTGGTCTTGCTGTGGCACTGCAGTCTTTAGTAAGGCTGGTCATAGGACAGGCAGATCTGGTATCAGATGCCAGTATCGCCTTTATTTCTCCTTGAATGCTAGTAATATGGTCTTGTTGTCTGGGGTTAATATGACAATCTGTTTCCAGTGGAGCTGCTGAAGGCTTTCTATCCCCTGGGCTGAGAAGTTTAGTCTAGAGTACCCCCTACCCCCATTCTGAGGGTTTGGTAGATGGAAATCTTTTTTTTTTTTTTTTTAAGATTTTTATTGTGGAGTTGAGGGAGGGGGACAGCATTGGGGAATTGGGGAAGGGGAACAGACAAGTTACTGTTCTTTGGTTCCTCAGTCTAGTTGTGGAGGACATTGCTTCACTGGCCCATGTTGGTATTATCATTGCGCTCTTTCCGGCTGAGGCAGTTGCTCGCCGGCCATTGGATGGTGGCTCATGGCAGCTCTTGCGGCTGCTGGTCTCTCACGCTGGCTGGCAGCCACTCACGGTAGCTTACGGCAGCGCACTGCAGCCCCTATGAAACCCATGGCCATCGCTGGTGACTCATGGCAGCCTAGATCCAGGTTGAGTTGTCATTCACCACCCCCTCTATAAAGGAAGCAGCGTCACTGGCCCCCATGTGGGATCTGAATAGGCAGCCCTGCTGCTCAGGGCCTGCGCCCCCAAGCCAACTCTTAACCAAATGAGCCACTCAGTCAGCCTGGTAGATGGAAATCTTAGAAGCAGAGCGGAATACTTGCTATTGTCATAGGAATTCCATTACTAAGAATGGAATTCTTAGGTAGGATGGTCAGTTGTGAGCTAAAAACCAATAAGCTCAAGGTATTTGATTTTGAATTTCTGCTGCCTATCATTACGATACCCTGATACTGAAAGGGATGTGAAACACTGAAGGAATTCTGCACACAGACCAAAATGCAGAACTGTTGCATTCCCTTCAGCTTAAGTGATCTGATTGGCAGGTTTTAGTTAACCAGGATACAAGGCTCAGCACAACTTTAAGGCAAATTCATAGTGACAAGCTATGCTTTCTGCTCTAGTGAGCATTTAGACAAACTGCCCAGTCCGGGATTAGCCCTAGTTATGCTGATACATGGAACCATGACTGTGGAGTTTACTTGGTTTTGAAGTGAGCTATACCCCAGAATATAATTAATCCTATGGGTCAATCTTAAATGAAACCAGCCTCTTTGGGCAGGCAATGTCTTGGTTTCTAGTCTAACTGGAATCTATATCCTGGGATTGCTTCAATCAGGAACTAACTACCCCAGGTCCATTGCAGCCAGGATCTGCAGCGTGACTCAGACCCAGGGCAAGGAGGAAGGTGACCAAACTGGGTCACCAACCAGGGTGTCTGCCCTAAATGTCCACCACAAACATGGATTTTATTTCTTATTGTGAATACCCTCCTGCAGGCTCCTTGGTCAGCAACTATGGTCAGAAAAAACCTCTGTGGTAAAACAACATATACTGACTGCTACCAGAGTGGGGTGGTGCAGGGACAGGGGCTGCTGGCTTGGTGCTCAGAGGTTGGTATTTGTGTTCCCTGAAGCAGAGGACTTGGCTTGGCCCAGCATTTCTCAGGTGAAGAACAGCTGATCTGATGAAGATTCTGAAATGGTCTGCTGCATCGGAGAGAAAGGTATTTTCTTATACTGGAGTTCATGGTTAACTCCATTTTTTTTCATCCTGTTTTATGTGGCGTAGTTTATAAGCCTTTACATTTACAACAATAGAAACCAAACATTTTAAAGCTATTAGGTATTATAGACATATGGCGCAGAAGTTTATTTTTAAACTTTGTTTTGAAATAGTTTAAAACTTATGAGAAGGCTGAAAATACAATATAAAGAGTCCCTGTATACCCTTCACCCAGATTCTTCAATTGTAATATAACACATTTTGCCTATTTTCTCTCTCTGTCTCTGTATCTTTCATATATACATAAATTTTTTCCTGAGCCATTTGAGAGTACATTAGAGATAGGATGGCCCATTACCCTTTGATACGACAGATACGTATTTACCAAAAATAGGAAAATTCTTCTATATAATTATAGTACAACCCTCAAAATTAGGAAAATTACCATGTATTCAAAAGATCCCACTCAAAATTTGCCAACTGTCCTAATAATGCCTTTATAGGTCCAGAGTCCAACCCAGGATCACACATTTGTTGTCATGTCTCTTCCCCCGCCCTTCAATCAGACCTGATTTTCCTGGCCTTCACATTTTCCAGAGTATAGGATGTCTCTCCATTTCAGTTTGTTTATTATAAGCTTTACTTAAAGGAAATCACTCAGTAAACATTTTATCAGAAACCTAGTTCTATACTGATACATGTAGATTGTTATTTTAATGGTTACATAACATTGCATTGTATGAAAGGACTATATTTAAGCAATCCCCTGTTAAAGGATATTTAGCTTATCTATAGTTTTCCACAGTATAAACCACATTGCAATTAGTAGCTCTGAGCAATTTATCTGATTCATCTCAAGTGGAATTGCTGGGTTGGAGTATGCAAATTTGAAATTTTGATACTATTTACAGATGGCAGTTCTGAAAGATTATACTTATTATAATACACCAGCGATACACAAGAATGCCTATTCCCACACCTACGTTAGTACTGGACATTTTCACTCTTTTTTTTTCTTTGAGTGATTTTCTGTTCTTTTTTTAAATTAAATTTATTGGGGGTGACAAAGGTTAATATTATTATATAAGTTTCAAGTGTACAATTCTATAATACATCATCTATATATTGCATTGTGTGCTCACCACCCATCTCTAGTCTCCATCTGTCACCATATATTTGGCCCCCTTTACCCTTTTTATCCTATCCCTATACCTCTTCCCCTCTGGTAACCTTCATACTATTGTCTATGTCTATGAGTTTGTTTTGTTTGCTCATTTGTTGCTTTGTTTTATATCCCACGAGTGAAATTTTATGGTTCTTGTCCTTTTCTTTTCTTTTTTTTTTTTTTTTTAAGATTTTTATTGGGGAATTGGGGGAAGGGGAACAGACAAGTTGCTGTCGTTTTGTTCTTCAATCTAGTTGTGGAGGATGT